AGAGCTCATTTACTTTGTGCATTCTTTGGTATCCTAATATGTAGAACTTTCCCAATTTCTGTTTGCTGTCTTGCTTAGATAGATGAGTTCATCTACTATTTGTGATGTGTAATGGCCTTTGGTATGAAGAAGCTAAACTGGCAAATGTAAACTAAGGCTTCCCTTTCCACCTTAAGAATGATGAGGAAAGTAGGCTTCCCCCTGAACTGCTAAATACCATACTCCTAGACGAGTGATGGTTGACAGCTGCTTTACAGATATGCCCAGTCTAATACACCTCCTGGAAACTAGAAGAGAGACTGAGTAGCCTCAGCAATCCTGGGCCTTAGGTGTCCTTCCCCCTAGTGTGACACCAGCATGGGCTTCCCAGGCACTGATATCCACCAGGAGCCGACTGTCTTCTGCTGTAGTTCTAACAGTAGTGATAACTTCAGGCCCCTTGAAGGACCCCAATCCATGCATGCACTGCCTGGCCCCAATTCCATGGGCAATAATCTACTGGGGTTGGCTCCTTCTCCCACTGTAGCTCTGGCAATGCCCTTGGTTTCAGGCTCCATTTATCGGAGATCTGGATGGTTTCAGGCTCTCCTGGTTTATTCCTGCTCAGATTGCCTGGAGGCTTCTATCTTCCTGAGCAGTCAATAATGGATGGAGGCACTTACTCCTGCATCCCTTTGGTATCACTGATTATTGTTTCATCTAGTACCCTTTCAAATCTTTGCTGGGATATTCATCAGAGAAGCTGGGTGTCATGATCTTGGACCTTTCATGTCACCATCTTAATAGGAAGTCCCCTTTCACTGTGTTTTAAGGGAGTCAAGGCCAGAGTTGAGCGGTTCAGACATCATAGCAACAACTATAACATTTTTATGTGAAGTAATAAAGAATAGAGGCAGTAGGCAGGCTCACTGCTATTTGGCAGAAAGCCTGCAGTACTATTCATATGTCCTTTAATTGGTTTTCCATGTCAAGCAAGAAGAACGAGGAGCCACAGTCTTATATCTTAAAGCAGATGGGTCAAATGTTGATCCTTCCTCAGCAATGCATCCTGCAATGCTCCTAGTCAGCTAAACCTGATTAAAATGTAATTGGAAAATATTTAACAAAATAAATATGTAATAGAATATAGTGTTAATACGTGGTTTTCTAAGTCAATAGTCAGCCCACAGGGATCATTATGTATGGTTTAGTAACCGGAGTTTCTATAATTCTACACCACTGTCCTAAAGGCCCTACACATTTCTCAGTTGATTTCTGCTGAACAATTTAGTCATACAACTGCCTAGATCTGAAAACTCTGCAAACTGAGAGAATTTAACTAGGTCTTTCATTATGTTTTCCTATACCTCTATCTCCATCCATCCCATTTCACCCCCACCCCCAAAGCCCTCTGCAAATGATACTGCTATGCTCTACATATGGCCAGCCTTTTGTACCCAGGCACACCAAGTAATACTGCTATAAATGCTAATACAACAACACCATTACCTCAAATTTGTATAGTGCTTTTTATTTTTAAATATTCTCATACATATAATTTTATTCCATCTTCATTTATCCCTATGTTAAACAAGTAAAATATTACAATTTCCATTTTTGCTGATAAGGAAACAGAATAAAAAGGGGGCAACTTGGCATGCCTAAGTTCACAGAGTTAGTGTCACAGCTGGGATGAGAATCCAGTTTTCCTGACTTTTTATCCCACGCTCTTTACATTGTGATTTGGTGAGATGCTACCAGATTTTAATCCTTGCAATTAATTGTGTTTCCCATCTTCTCATTTTGGTGTATTTAAAACCTTTTTCTCTTTAAAGGTCATAAGCTTAGGAGGAACTGAGTTCAAATCCAGCCTCAGATACTTGACACTTACTAGCAGTGTGACCCTAGGCAAGCCACTTAACCCCGACTGCCTCATCCCCCCCGCCATAAGTTAATATTTTCTTGAAGTCACAATGAAAATTTTTTTTAAAAAGTGATGGATGATGGAGCAGCCAGGTGGTGCAGTGGATAGAGTGTCAGCCCTGGAGTCAGGAGGACCTGAGTTCAAATCCAGCCTCAGACACATAACACTCACTAGCTGTTAACCCCAATTGCCTCATTAAAAAAAAAAGTGATAGATGAGTGTTCCCTAGATCCATAGGCACCCTGATCCTTTCCTTTTATCATGCTTAAGTCTTGTCCATGGAAAGGAAGAAAAAAAAAGCAATGATTGGTCAGTTTTTTCCTAGAGCAAGCTCTTTAATTGCCAAGTTTCACAAAGCATTCTGCTTCCAATATAAAAAAGAATTCTGATGAAAACCTTCAGTATGTAGGCATAAAATATGTACAGGTTTAAGCATTGAAACAAGAACTAAGTTACTAACTTTAGTTACCGAGTACTCATCTCCACTTCTTAGCTCTCAGTGGTGACTTTGATTGTCTGCTGGAGTTAAATTTGTATTTTGAAAAAAGATCTTTAAGTTACCGCCCCATTTAGGTGCATAAATCCTCAATAAAGATCTGTGACTTGTCTACAAGTTGTAATTTTCTTGACTTCATTACAGAATCAATCAAAAAACCATTTTTGAGAGTGAACTCTGTGCAAGGCATTGTGCTATGGGCTGTGTAGAAAATACAAATTATAGAAATACAAATTATAGTCCCTGTTCTCAAAGGAAAACAAAGCATAAACTCAGGAAAAAATAAATAGAAACTAAAGAATTCAATGACAATAATGACAGTAACTAGCCCAAGAGGTGTCCCAGCTGCCTCATATGATTCAATGACATTGTTTGGTTGATTATTGTCCTTGGTTGAAGGCAACCAAAATGACATCATTATGTTCGGGTCAAGGTACAACATGTCCAGCTGTGGCTAATCAGACCAATGCAATCTCAGGAGGCTCTACCACAAATTGGGCACAAAGAGTCCATATAAACATTGCAGTGGAGAAGTCTCTAAATTTGCATGTCTCATGTTTCTTTTGAGGTACTGCAATTCTCCTTTGCTTACAGAGCACAACACATTCTTTGATGCAGGCATACCATGCTGGGCAGTCCTCTGCTAGTGTCTCCCATTTCTAAAAATCTATTCCAAAGCTCTTCAAGGAGACCCTGAGAGTGCCCTTGCACGGCTACTTCTGAGTGCCCTTGTATGCCTACTTCTGACTTCCACGTGAGCACTTGCCTTGTGTGAATTCTCCATAAAATAGTCTTCTAGGCAAATGTATGTTTGGCATTCAAACAACATGGCCAGTCCATCAGGGTTGCGCCCTCTGCAGTAGAATTTGAATACTTGGCAATTCAGCTCAAAAAAGGACCTTAGTGTCTGGTACTTTGTCTTGCCAGGCGATCTTCAGAATCTCCCTAAGACAATTTAAATGGAAGTGATTCAGTTTCTTGGTATGGTGCTGGTACACTGTCCAGCTTTCATAAACATACGACAATGAAGTCAGCACACCAGCTCTGCTGACTTTTAGTTTGGTAGGCAGTTTAATACTTCTTCTCTCTCATACTTTCCTTCGAAGCCTCCCAAACACTGAGCTAGTTCTGACAATGTGTGTGTCAACCTCATCATGTATGTGTATATCTCTGGAAAGTATACTGCCAAGATAAGTGAACCTGTCCACAGTATTCAAAATTTCTCCATTTGCTATAACTGATGGGTCCATGTATGGATGGTGGCACTGGCTGATGGCGAAAATGTGTTTTCTTGGTTTTGTGAAGCCAAAATTTGCACAAGCAGCAGAGAACTGACACATACTTTGCTGCCTCTCAGCTTCAGAGGTTGCATTGAGTGCACAATCATCTGCAAAGAAAGAGTGGTGCACTCACTCTCCCTCCACTTTAGTCTTGACTTGCGGCCTTTTCAAATTAAATGATTTACCATCAGTACAGTAGCTGACCTTGATGCTGTTTTTGTCCTCACTGAAGGCATCCGACAACATCACTAAGAACATCATGTATGTTTTCAACCATCAAGCGTTGGAGCAAGCACACAGCCCTGCTTCACTCCATTGGAGACTGGGAAAAATGAGAGCAACACCCCTCATCCAGGACCTGTGCAAGCATGCCATCGTGAAATTACCGTACAATACTGATGAACGTTTCCAGGCAAGCAAATTTTGCCATGATCTCAACAAGCCCTTCCACAAAGGCCTTTTGACAGCATTAAAGACCTTGGTCAGACCCATGTACATTGTGTACAGACCTATGATCCGCTCCTGACGTTTCTTCTGGCGTTGTTGGACAGCAAACACCATAGCAACCATTCCTTGGCACTTTCTGAAGCCACGTCGGCTCTTGGGTGCACAATCATCATCCAGGTGAAAGATCAGCCCATTAAGGAGGACTCTGATGTAATTGTCACCATTTCCCTTTTCCTTTACAGAGATGGACAATGGAGGTATCCTTGAATGCTGGGGGAAATAACCTCCTCTTGCCATATCACCCAGAAGATTTCAATCAGCTTTCGTATAAGCGGCTCCCTCCCTCCCTGCCTTACAAATCTCTGCTGTAATAGAACAGAAAACCAGGTGTTCTGCCACATAAGAGTACTCTAATGGCATCTGAAATCTCTTCTTCAATGGGAAGTTCTGCTAGAGAGAGATTAACTTCAACCTGAGCTAGACAGTCAATGGCTTTAGCATTGATTGATAATGGTCTGTTGAGAACTTTGGAAATATTCAGCCCATCTCTCCAGGATCATGTTCTTATCACTAATCAACGTGGCTCCATCAGCACTGAGTAGCTGAGATGTACCATAGGTCTCTGGCCCATAAAGCTCTACATATTCCACAGCACCTGCTGCCACCCCCTTCATAGCCCATTGGAACAAATTGTTCACATCCACCCATTCCACGAGCAAGTCTTTACATGCTTGGGGTAGATAACCCCACTACTCACTAGCAAGTCTGAATCCTGTCGGTTACACTCAACTTGGTCCATCTACCAAGATGGTTTTACTGGGATGTGGCCGCTGCGCATGCTACAGCTTCTTGGAGCCACAGGTGAGAAGTGGATGACAGGTAGACACCAAAGGTGGAAAGCAGAACTGAAAATGGTTTGGAAGCCCTCACACCAGAGGTACTAGTCTTCCAAGGACACCCTTAAATCTCTTACAAATTGACATTCAAATGAATGCTATGAACTGTGTGTGTGTGTATGTGAGAGAGAGAGAGAGAGAAACAGAGAAAGAGAAAGAGAAAGAGAGAAAGAGAGAGAGAGAGAATGACTAGAGTGGTTTAGGAGATACCTTCATGGAGGAAGAGACATTTCACATGAGCCTTGAGGGATAGATCGGAATTGACTACATGAAGAGGGAGGGAAATACACAGTTACCCAGAGGTATGAAAGGAAAAAAGCACATTGGCTCCTTGTAGGGTTCAATTAGTTTGGCTCAAATGGAATGCTTTAGGAAGAAGAGTACAAAAGAGTGGAAAGGTAGGTTGGTACCGTTGGAGGGCCCTGAATCCCAGGCTAGGGAATTTGGACTTTATCCTATTGATATTCAGAGGAATGATGTAAGTAAAGATTACACCAATGATGAAAGTAGACCTTTATCTGGTGGAATGATGCAGTATGAGTGGAAGAAGAAAAGTTCAGTGCAAAGAGATAAATGAAGACATAAGTACAGTGGTAGTCTAGGTATGAGATAATAGCTTGAACCAGAGTATTAGAAATGAGAATGCAAAGGATATTTCTAAGCAATAACTGAAAGAACATGATTGGATAGTTTCATATGGTCCCCTACGATTAACTTTATTAACAGTTAACTTGAGCATGAAGACTTTGTTGTCAGTCTTTCTGTCAACTAGGAAGATGACAATTCATCCACACCATATCCCCCGATACTCTTGTCCATGGCCTCTTCAGAGTTTACTCAATGTGCTGGGATCCTTGCTCCAGATCTGTTAACAATACAAGGACTTCAATGTAATATGCAGGCTCTATATATCACTCCTTTCTCTTGCTACATGAACAGATCATCTCTTGTTTTAGTCCTACATCTCTTGGTTGATCTCTAGCCTCCTTCAAAAATAAGGTCAAGTGCTATCTCCTAGAGAAACACTTATCCTGATGCCTCCAGTTATTAATACCTCCCTTATGAAATTACTCAAATATGTTTCATATTCAATTTTCTATGTACATGTAATTTCCCCCCAATAGAATGTAAGCTCCTTCAGGACAGGGACTGTTTTGTTTTTATCAGTAGAATGCCAATGAAAACAACTTTGAATGGATTAAGAACTCTGATCAATGCAATAACTAATCATGACTCCAAAATGTTGATCAAGAAAGCATGTCTTTTACTTCTTAGCAAAGAAATAATGGACTAGTCACTGGTGGAACAAAATGAGATGCTCATTTACAGACACAGGTGTGAAATTATTTGCTTAACTATAGTTACTTGTTACAAGGCAGCGTTTTTATTTCTGTGAGGGGAAAGTTTGACTAGCGAGAGTGACACAAAAAAGAAAAAAATAGCAATGAAACACTTAAAAAATATGTAAAAGAGAACCTAAGGAAGTTCAGAAGGGAATAAAGACAAGCAGAGCAGTGCTGATGCTGTTGTGTTAAATTTAATATATACATTTTAAAAATTATACATAATATAGATTCCATTTTAAATATAATCCTTTTCTAATCTTTGTAGATTGAAATATTCATATCTTTTTATGGTTGTTCATAATAATGAAAATTTTTAAAATACAGGTGTCATAAGAAATTACTAAAATGATGGATTCAGAGAAACCTAGAAAAAAAAAGTATACAAAATGATGCATAATAAGGCAAATAGAACCAGGAAAACAATTTATATGATGATCATAATAACATAAAGGAAAATTGCTTTAAAAGATTTTGATATTCTAATCAGTTTAGTGACAAATTATGATTTTCATTAGATGGACGATGTCATATGCCTCCAACCTCTTATCTTGTTTAGAGGTGCAGAAAGAGTCATACATATATTAATAGAGTCAATGTGTTGATTTATTTTGCTTGACTCTATTTACTGGTCATAACAGATAAACGGCTTTGATACATAGATGAAAAGAGGAGTTGGTGCTTATTGATAGTGAGGCGAAAAAAAAGAAAAAGAAAAACATATTCGATGTTTTTAATATATTTTTTAAAAAGAGTAAAAGTACAGTTCAATAGTCCAGTTTTGTTACTATCACATTAAATTTAATATTTTTTTATGATGATGAAGAAATAAGTGTTCCTTCAGAACTCTAATGTCTTCAAGGATCATAGAGTTTTATAGACAAACAGAAGGCCTGTGGACAACTTTGTTCTTTTTCAGATGATCTTAAGATAAGTAGGAAAAGAAGTTAAGAAATATATAAGGGGGTAAAGGGGAGGAAGTGGGTAGGATTTACTATCATCTCACATCATCCTAGTGTGGGAGATTATACAAATGTGGAAGAAGGGGAAAGGAATCGCATGAACCTTACTTTCATCTGAACAAAAGCAGATTAAACACACACATACACACAATTTGGCATAGAAATACATGAAACTTAACAGAAAAACAGAAAGGAATAGGGAGGGGAGAGGATGGGGTTCAATTTATGGGTAGAATGGGGTAAGATTTGTTGTTGTTGTTCAGTCATTTTCAGTTGTATCCTACTCTTCATGACCCTATTTGGTTTTCTTGACAAAGACAATGAGTGGTTTGCCATTTCCTTCTCCAGCTCACTTTACAGATAAGGAACTGAGACAAACAGGGTTAAGTGACTTGCCCAGGGTCACACAGCTAGTAAGTACCTGAGCCCAGATTTGCAATAGGGAGGGAGGGAGGGAGAAAAGGAGGAAGGAGGGAAAGAGAAGAAGGGAGGGAGGAAAGGAGTGAGGAAGGAAGGAAGAAAGGAAGGGAGAAAGGAGAAAGGAAGAAACAAAGGCAGAGCTACATGATTAGAGAGACATTAATTTTTCATGCATGGGCCATGCCAATATAACAGAAATTAAAATACTACCTAATGAAACCGCCAAGGTATTACTTTTATAGAACCAGAAAAAAATGACAAAATTCATCTGAAAGAATAAAAGTGAAGGGAAATCAAGAAAAAAAAATGTAAGGAAGTAATAGGCTTACAATTACCAGATCTTAAACCATGATACAAAGCTGTGAACATCACAATTATTTGAATGGACAAAACAGATACATACAATTCAGAAGTAAACATACTATTTGATAAATACAAAAACTCTAACTATAGAGGAATGTATTCACTATTTAATAAAAACTACTGGAAAAACTAGAATGCATCCAACAAAATATTTAGTTTAGACCATTATTCTCATACCTTCTAACACAATAAACTACAAATGGATACGTGATTTAAGATATGAAAGATCACATCATAAACAAAGTAGAGAAGCAGGGAAGGAGATACTTTTCCCATCTACTGATAGGGGAAATATCCTTGACCAAACAAGGCATAGAGAAGATCACAAGGCATGAAATGGATAGTTCTGATAACATGAAATTGAAAAGATTTTCCACAAACAAAAGCAATGCAGTTAAAATTAGAAGAGAAACAGTTAAGTAGGAAAAATATCTTTTCAATATTCCTCTGATAAAAGGCTAATTTCCAAGATAAATAGGGAACCAATCTAATATCCCAAAACAAGGACCATTCCCCAGTTGATAATTAGTCATTGGATATGAACAGGTAGTTCTCAAGGGAAGAAATCCAAGTTATCATCAATCATACGAAAAAATGTTACAAACTTCTAACAATAAGAGAAACGCAAATTAAAATAACTGATGTCTGCTTTATACTTAGAAAATGGGCAAAGATGACAAAAAGGAGGAATGACAATTATTAGAGGGAATGTGAGAGATCAAGCAAACTAATGCATTGTTGATGGAGCTATAAAATTAGAAGCCATTCTAGAGGACGATTTGGAACTATACTCGAAAGTTCATAAACTATGCACATCCTTTGACCCAGTGATACTACAACTAGGCTCATTCCCCCAAAAGATCAAAGATGAAAGGAAAGGACCTATACTTACAAAAATATTTATAGTAATACTTCTTTGTGTAGCAAATAACTTCAAACTAAGGGAATGCCTATCAGTTAGAAAATGGCTAAACAAGTCATAGTATATGAATATAATGAGAAGGGAAAGGGAATAGGCATTTAAATTGTGCCTACTATGTACCTGGCACTGTGCTAAGCACTTTTACTACTACTACACTAGTAAGAAAAATAATAATAATGGTTAACATTTATATAGTACTTACTATGTGCCAGGCACTAGGCTAAGGGCTTTTAAAAAATTATCTCATTTGATCCTCACAATAGCCTTTCAAGGTAGGTGCTATTATTATCTCCATTTTACAGCTGAGGAAACTGAGACATACAGAGGTTCAGTGACTTGCCCAGGGTTACACAATTATTAAGTGTTTGATGAAAAAAAATTTAATCCTTATCTTCCTAATTCTGGACCCAGCGCTCTATCCACTGTACCACATTGCTGACCCTGATGGAATCCTACTGTATGATAAGAAATAAGAAAGAGACAAAGTTAAAGAAATCTGGGAAGACTTAGATGAACTAACAAAAATGAAATTAACAAAACCAAAAGAACAATTAATACAGTGACAATAATACTGTAAAGAAAAACAACTTTTAAAGACTTATAAACGCTGACTCCTCCTGACTCCAGAAGATTAATGATAAAGCATGCAATCCATAACAAAGTGCTAATGAATGGGAGAGATGCAGAATGATATACATACATTAGAACAAGGCCAATGTGTAAATTTGTTTTGCTTTTCTATGCTTGTTTGCCACAAGAGAGGGTGTTGGGTTTTGTTGGGTTTTTTTTTAGTGGAAGAAGGATGGGATGTGAGTGGAAGGCCTAGGGATAATAATGTTCAAAAACAAAGAATGAAAAAAAGGTCACCAAAACATGTTGAAAATCAGACCATACATAAACAAAAAGAAACTGGTCCAGAGGGAGGTATAGATGAGCAAAACAGCTTTAAAATTAACATGTTGAATTCATGTTGTTTTTTTTTAAAAAAAGGACAAGTTATTTACAATGGAGATTTATGGTTTTACATACAATTCTCTTCATTCATTTTTCTTTGCATATGGAAATGCTCATGTTAATTGGTGTACAGCAAGTGTAGAATAACACAAAATTTTTTTAATTTAAAATTTTCATATATTCCAAATGAACTGGACATAACAGAAGCTCAGTTTCATATATGATACCCTTTTCTGTTCTCTGTATATTGAAATATTTATGTTTGTTGATGTATAAATTCATAATAAAATTTTTTTTATTAAAAATTAAGGCACTGGAGAAAAGACAATGTTGCATACCTCCTTCCGCATTGCAGAGAGGTAGGGAACCATTAAATTAGAATATGTATTATCAGGCAAGACTTCCTTACTGGATGTTTTTACCTGTTTTTCTTTATCACAAAAGTAGAGTTCCATCTGGAGGGAAGGAAGGAAAGTGACTATGATGTAAAGCTCAAAAGCATCAATTAAAAAGATTAATGAAATTCCTGAAGAGGAACCTCCTCACTTGTGACAGAAAAGTGGAGAAACAACTGGGAGGGACAACGTTAATGTTTCTGTTTAATTGTTTGGGTTTTTTGGTAACAATGTTAGGTTCAATTTGGAGGGCTGAGTGAGAGAAGATTATTATAAAGGTATAGACAAAAGATTATAAAGGCATCAATAAAGCACATTTTAAATAAACTGATTTCACACCTTTTGTTGGTATTTTTGTCAACAAAAAATTATTTTGAACTTAAGAGTCAAATGAGTAACTTCAAGGACTCCAACTAAGGTTGAGAATAAACTAGGACTTGAAGCTATTCTCATGCTCTCCACACTGACCAAAACATTCTTAGGCATGAAGGCTGAAAAACGATCTTCGCAGAAAAGCGTTAGCAGGGATCAGCATCACTGCGAAGCATCCTGGCATAATATCACTGTGCCTAAGGAAATGATCTCTTGGGTTTCTGGAGGGTATATTTCTCCTCTACCACATGAATGTTAATTCCACATCGACCAGGTGAACCCTAAGTCCAAAAAGCAAGCTCCGACTGGGAGGAAATGGAGCACTTCAGGAGACAATATCATCTCTATCTTCCCATCTTGGCCTTCTAGGAGAGGACAGCTTGTCCATGAGGTCTTTGAAACACAACAGGCTTAAAACAAACAAGTAACTCTTGTCAATCACAAAACTAATTATGGCATCAGTGATTTATCACCTGGACTCATGTTGGAGAACACCTGCCTAGTTCAAAAGGCAGATATGATTATAAAGTGCAGATACTGTCCTGATGAGTAATGGTTTGCTGGTCCAAAAATAAACATAACAAAGCATAAGTACACAATACAAAAATCTATTTAATTTGGGAGCCTGGTATGAACTGGAGTGGCAGTACAGTATAGCAGAGAGCAAGATTTGGAGTCAGAACAGCTACAGGAGTAAATCCTGCCTCTGACACTTACTAGTTATGAGACGCTAGCTAAGTCACTTTACCTAAGATTTAGTTTCCTCCTCTGTAAATTAAAGGAAATTATTTGTACTACTTACTTCAAACGGCTATTGTGACAGACGATCAAATGAAATGATGTAGGAGAAGCATTCTTCAAACTTTGAAGTGTTATTTAGATGTTATTTATAAATTTGATTGATAACATTCATCATTCATGGTCTACTTACTTCAAAATTTCAGGGATCTGTGATTTCAGCAATGTCAGTATTCCTCCTACCTATGAAGATCAAAATTCCTCTGTAATTTAGGTGGCTTAGTGGGTTCCTGTGACCAAAAAAAAAAGCAACATTAGGTCAACCATTTGGTGACACGCTTCTCCAAAGCTCCAAGCTAGTCTGGTCTTTACACAATAAGCATATTGTGTCTTTTTACCAGTCCTGTAGCTGAAACGTTTCCAATTTGATAAGACCTACTAGATCTTGTACTAGGTTGGCATAATTTTGAGAATCCAGTGCCATTTCCACACCAGAATGAAACACTAGAGTGAGGCTTTGATGGAGGTTCATGTTATACCTTACGATAAAGCCAGGTTAGTCTGAAATGATACTCCCATCTACTCTTCTCACCCATTTCAAAGGGTTTGTTTGTTTTTGCAAGGGAGGGTCTGGACCTGTCATTTCATTTTAGAAAGTTCTACCACTACTCATGTTAAAAAAGAAAAACTAAAAATATATCTAGTTCTGATTAATTAGGCTGCCATCCCTTGAATAATTTTATGCTCTCATGCCTCAGGATCTTTGCTCTTCTAGCCTTCCATTTAATGGTGAGATCAACTGCTGAAATTTAAAGGTGTTGAAAGGTTTAGAGAAAGGTGAGATTTAGACACTTTAAAAAACTGGGCAGAAATAAGTTAAAAAAAGTAGAAAACAATCATCATTTGGGAGAGGGTGCTGAGTTGAGTTGCAGTCTCTATGGATGGTGGTAAATTAATCATGTATTCTAAAGTACTCATGTATTTGGGAGGTTGCTAGATGGCCTAGCATATGGCTGTGTGACTCTAGCTAAGACACAAACCTTCCCAGTCTATTTCCTCATAAAAGTGTAAATGTCAGCTATTATTAATAATTATATAATAATAATAATAATAATAACAATAATTCCTTTGCAGAACTATGTGAGCCTCAAGGTGAGGACCGTTTAGCTTTTGTATATGGTAATATTTAGTAAGGGGCAGCTAGGTGACACAGTGGATAAAGTGCCAGGCCTGGAGTAGGAAGACTCATCTTCCTGAGTTCAAATCTGGCCTCAGACACTTATTAGCTGTGTAACCCTGGGAAAATCACTTAACCCTGTTTGCCTCAGTTCCTTACCTGTAAAATGAGCTAGAGAAGGAAATGGCAAATCACTCCAGTACCTTTGGCAAGAAGATCTCAAATGGTGTCACAAAGAGTTGGACGTGACTGAAAAATGACTGAACACACACAAGATTTAATAAAATGTTTGTTGAATTAAATGCGGCAAACACACTGCCATGTTATAGTGGAAAAGGTACTGAATTTGGAATCACAGACTCTCGGTTCACATGAGTTCTCTGGAATTAAAGGATCATAGATGATGGTACTAGATATTTAAAGCCGGGAGAGAATTTAAATGTTAATTAGTCCAATCCCTCCATTTTTCACTTAAGGAATTACATACGTAAGGTTTCAAAGTCATTTTCAAACCCACATCATTTGACTCCACACCCCACACTCTTACCACTATACTATGGTTCTTTAAGCTACTTTCTCATTTTACAAATAATTTTACAAGTAAAATATATTAATTTAATCAATTGTCTATTATTTAATCCTATTCAGGGTTTAAATTCTGATCCCTCAACGACACTTATTTAGGTTGAAGGGGCTGCCGGGGATTCTAAGAAAAAAATTAAAACAGTCCTTCCCTGAACTCAAGGAGCTTACATACTACTGAAGGTATATAACAGGTACATAAGTAACACAAAGCATATACAAAATAATGGGGTAGGGGTGAGAAGATAGATAGGCAGCAATTAAGGCCTTTCCAAATTACCAAGTATCAGTTTCCACTTCTCGCCTTTGGCCAAGCTTCATTTGCCACTTCTGTTACTTTAAGTATCCTAAAAGCTATAAAGGTAGTCACTTCCCTTTAATGTATTTTAAAGCTGGACGGATTGCATGGAGACTGTTATATTATTGGGCCTCCTCTGACACGCTAGAAACTGTCAAGACCGCTCACAGCCTCACGCTCCCAGAATAAACAATTCTGGGTCTGAGAAGGGAAGGTTCACACTTCCGGTATGCAGTTCACACCGAGAACGCCTTTGCCCAGACCCTAACCACTAGTGACAAATATGCGGTGCCTCCCACTGGACGAGGGGTTCTCCCGGCCGTAGAGTTCGTCCCTGCGGCCCCAATGTAGGTTACACCTAGAAACAGAAACACGTGGTTGGTGAGTCAGTACAGAAGGCAAATGATAAAACCACGGCGACGTAAGATAATTAGGACGCTCTTGCGCCGCGCTGCGTGGCTGCATGCGTGAGAGGTTTCCCCACCCTCTCCCGCAGGCCTACTGCCCAGCGAAGAGTGCGTGCCCAGACACCCACTCCACTGCCGGAGCTCCAGCAGCCTCCACGTGTCCTCTCTTTACCCAGCAGCCTCTACGGCTGTCCAGGGAGAAAAGCCTCCTGACAACTCGCTCCACACCCCCACCACGCCGAGCACTACAACTCCCAGAAGGCTCCACGTTCCCGTTCCTCCCTCCCATCTCCGCGGGACACGCAGGCGCTCTTCTTCTCGTCAACAAGCCGGAGCGGCTCCGAGTGTCGATCGTGCCTAACGGGATTTGTAGTTCTTCTGGACCTTCGTCCTTGGGCGGCTGAGGGAGAGTGGACTCCAAGTCTCAGCGGCCCTTGCGCGGCGGAGGCCGGTCACGTGGGCGGGGGGGCCGGGCGTGTGCGTGCCGCCGTTGATCCGGTGCCGCAGTGAGGAGGTGGTTCTAGCCTTGTTGTGTGCGCGTGTGTGTGTGTATGTGTGTGTGTGTGAGTGTGTGTGTGAGTGTGTGTGTGAGTGAGGGAGTGAGTGAGGGAGTGAGTGAGCGAGCGAGCGAGCGCGTGCGGCCCGGCTTGTTGTTGTCCCTGACTTCCCCTCCCCTCCACCCCTCCCCCTTTCCCAGCCGCCGCTGCAGTGGCCGCTCCCTGGGCCGTAGGAAATGAGCGATAACGATGACATCGAGGTGGAGAGCGACGTGAGTCTCGGGGTTTCTTCCTTCCCGTGCGTGTCTGTTTGGGGGTCGGGGCCAGCGGACGGAACTGGACGGGGTGGGAGGGCGGGGAAGGTGTGCGGAGGCCGGGCCGCTTCCTCCTCGCCCTTCCTCTCCGTGGACGGGTCCGCCGTCGCCGTCTCGGTCCGGGCACTTCCCTCACTCGCCCGGCCACCGCGGCCTCTGGAGTCCGGATGGGGAGGAGTGGCCTTGGGGAACCCTCCCTTCCCCCCAGCTCTCCCCTCACCCCGTCCCCGCGGGGGGGCAGCATCGCTGGGGTCAGTCTGCCCCCCTCCCTGACCCCCCCCCGGTGCCGGGATGGGGGTACACTCCGCAACCCATTGTCCAGATCCAGAGAACGGGGGCTGTGCTCAGGACCCCTCCCCCGCCCCCCCCCGAACCCCGTCCAAGATCCCTCTTCCTTTTTCTGCCGGGGGGGGGGGGGTTAGGGTGCCCAGAATGCCCTTGGCATGGGCTGACGAACGGGGCATCCAGGACCGCTTCCCCCCAGCGCGTCCCCTCTGGCTGGGCTGGATCCCGGAAGAAGGGGCGGCGCACCAGACACACGCCCCCCACCCCCCCAGCCTAGCACGGGGATCCCGGCTGGGGGGAAGGGAGGAGGGTCGGGCTTACTCCCCATCCCCTGCTTCCTTCACCGCCGGCATTTTCTTTCTTATTTTTGAATGTGAAGCGTAAAAATAACTTCTATATTTTCTATTTTTCTCTCTCTTATTCCAGGAAGAGCAGCCGAGGTTTCAATCTGCGGTACGTCTCCTTCTCTCCATTTCATTTTCATTTCCGTTCAGTTCTAATCCTTTTCGGGGTCAGAGAGAGTTCTGTTACTTTCAATGTTATGATGGTAAACTGCACTGTGAAATGCTGGAGGTGAGGTGGGGGCCTACGTCGGGGATTCTAGATGGGGAGAAGGGTTGCAAACTTAATCATTCTAGATTCTCAGGTGTTAGGTTCCATCGAGTTTAGGTGAGTGGGAGGAGCTTTGTCCATAGGAAAGGATCTGATTCTTGAGCGATCAAATCCAAGGGATCTATGTAACTACTGTTTGGATTCAGGAAAGGAAAGAAGTTCTGAATTAAGTCGTCATTATTTGAAGGCAAAGTAGCCAAGAGAATATTTGGAAACAAATAGCTTTTAAACCATTGTTACTCTGGAGGCACATGTGATCATCAGAAATGAAAAGAGCCATATAAATACTGTATTCCTTAAAGAGCCTAACAGTATTACATAAGAATGTAATGCAGAAATTAAAGCCACAAGTTGCACATACAGGAACAGTAGCAGAATGGCACTGCTCTAGGCCCATGGGTTGAAGTAGGTTTTGAAAGTAAAGAAAAAAAGCTTTGGAGTTGGTGTGGAAGAGAGGAATGCCAAGATAGAAGAAAATGTGTTAGATCATTTCTTTGGTTTTCTGTATTAATGTACTCAATACTTGGTTCAGTGGATGTAGATATGTATCTTAAATTGATGGGAACCTGGAAGTGTTCAGTGAATTTGAATGGGGGGGGAAGAGGCTTTTTTGGGGAACAAAAAGGGAGATGAGAATGGGGAAGGGGCATGAAGCACAACAAAGTTCCTGATAATCTGCCGTTGGAAGCGATGAGGAATAGTAATTATTTTGAAAAGAGAAACTCTTGCTGAGCTAGATTTGATTTAATAGAGCAAACTGGGGTTCAGAATCTTTTCCAGAGATCTGGGGCTTCAGAAGAATTTAAACAGTATGAAGAGAAATCCCGGGATGTAATTGGTTTTTTGGACTTGAAAACTGTTTCTGATTGTCATTTGTTGAAAAATAATTTGTTTTAATGGGCTGAAAGATGCCTTATTTTGGATTTTTTGTTGTAAATCTCCTTAATAGTATATCCACTTTAACATTGTACTTTTTTAAGCAAAATTTAAAAAAATACTTCATTTGTCTCCTGAATTCCCTTGATGGGATTTGAAAATGGCCCCCAAATCAAGGGTAGTAAGAGGGGAAAAAGAGTCCTTGAAGAGCTTTTCCAGACTTTTATTTAGAACAACTAGTCATGGGTTTTCAGCAAGAAACCAGATCTCTTTGTTGAGAGATAATTGGATTTTTAAAAATCTTTTTAATTTTAAAATAACTTCTCTGCACCTTAACATCTAATCTCAGGGCTTTATCTAGAAATTTATGGTTAAATGTTAAAGTGTCTAGAGTTTATCCCTTTGATTTTTTTTTTGGCTTTTTAATTTGTCTTGCAGAGACTTTCAGACATCTTGCACAAGCTAATCACAACAGCATAGAGAAAAGGCAGGTGTATTACAAGCATGTTTTTCAGTATCACAAACAACTATCAGGACCTGATAGAGGAATAAGAATTTCCTTTCCTATGATGATGAAATTTGTGCTCCAAGGCCTGGGAATTTCTTTTTGTTAAACTGGAAGAAATTTTTTGTTATAAAGGAGCCATTTTTTAGGCCTTGACTTTTTTGAAGGACAATCAAGCTGGAATAACAGGAAAGAATATTGAATAATTTGAGTCAGTGTTGTAAGAGTTTTAAAAATTATTTAGAGAATGTTATGTTTTACAGGTGTAAAAATCCTGTCATGAGACATAAGAGACTGACAAGAAGAAGGAAATAATGCTAACTGTAAGAGAAAGTGAAACTGAATTTAATATTCTCTGGGTGCCATGGAAAAGATAAAGACTTTAATTGGTAGGAAAAAAAATAAGCTTGACTAGAGAAAACAGTCAGTCTGAGTAACCCAGAATATTTCAGCAATATTTCCTATAACAGAAATTGCCATGTTGCAAAAGTCCCAAGTGATGTGATTTTTCTTTTATTTTAATTCTATGAACTTTCAAAAAATAATGGAAGGAAGATAAATTCCTTTCGCACATAATGTTTTTATGCTTTCTTTCTGTTTTGATGGCATTCCACAGGAAGGGGTTTGAGTTTTGAATACAAGTATGTGAGACCTGAGACTATTTCTAAGAGATTGTCCTTCATGCTAGCTCAGCATACTGCAATTGCAGCATATCTTCTAGAAGTTTGAAAACAGGTTTGTGCAATTCCATTTCTGATGTGAAATGTTGTCAGCCTCTCCAGTATATTTGCTTTACAGAATTGTAATGTATTCAGAAAGGAA